CCCCGCCCCGACCCGCCCCCCGGCCGGCAATGGCCTCCCAGCAGCCGGTTCTTCCGCTCACAGCCCACACACTGACTCAGCAGCCCCCGGTGTTTTCGTTCTCAGATCCGCTCCTCTTGTTCCCGGGCAGCAGCAGAGAGCGGGCAATACCCAGGCCCGCCGGAGGCACCAGCTGGCCCCATGGCAGCCCCCTCTGCTGCCTCCCCATGGGGTGGCTGCCCCAGGGCTCCTGCGGGCTCTGGACAAGGAGGTTGAGCACAGCAGGACTGCGGGGTCCTGCCGGAGGAGCTGGGGAAGGGGCAGTGCCTGCGGCGATGCCGCAGCGAGCGGTCGCGCAGCCGGCGAGCGCCTGCAGCGCCGCCAAGGCAGAGGCCAGACAGGCAGAATGTGTCTGGATTACCAAGTGCCCCAGGTCCCTGCACGGGAGCAGCGGCTGGAGCAGGACAGCCCGGTCAGGCCGCCCGGAGCCGTGGATGGATATGGCAGCAGTGCGAATGTGGGAGCGTCCCCGAGCCAGGGCAGCTGCCACCAGGGTGCCGGGGCTGGGACGGGATGTGCCATGGGCAACTGCAGGCTCCAGGCCAGCAATCAATTCTCCTCTGCCTCGGGCACATTTCATCCCCCATCTAATTTCTCTGAGAGCTGCGTGGCAGCTGCCAAGCCGCCCTCGGCCTCTGCGTCATTCCCCTCTGCCCTGCCAACACGAGCAGGCAGGAGAGCTGGGGGCTGCTCCTTAGCAGGTATCGGTGGTGATGCCAGCCTGCCAGTGCCACCCTGGGTTGCAGAACATGCCCCGCTGCGGAGGGGGTTGGCTAGGTTGGTCCCAGTTGGGTTGCTGATGCCGGGAGGGGTTGTCTGTCCTGTGCTTCCCACCACTGGAGCAACAGCCAAAGCCCTGGTTTCAGCCAGTGACTTGCTTAGGTTCTTGCTCCATCACTGCCTTTGTGGGCAAAACTTAGCTCTGCCCTTGGGCCAGTGTGACACAGCCTTGACTCTTCTCCCATCCCTATTCCCACTCCAATACCCTTTCCCATTCCCATCCCCATTCTTTTCTTCATTACCACCTCTATCCCCTCGCCATCTGTACCCCTATTCCCATTCCTTTCCTCATCCTCATTCCCATCCCTATCTCCATCTCCATTTCCTTCCCCTTCGCTATTCCCAGCTCCAACCCTGGTCCCATCCATTGCCATCTCTCAGCTCATTCCTCCCCTCTCCATCCCTCGAGCATCCTGGCTGCCATTTCTTCAGCCATCTCTTGACCCCAGCAGCCCCCAGTTTCGGCTTAGCACAGTCCAGGTGTCTGTGTGCCCTCTAGTCTCCTAAGCTGTTTCCTCTAATGTCCTTGGGGACAGAAGAGCCAGGGACGGGGTCACTCCTTGGGGCTCATATGTGCGGACTCTCCACAGGTTTCTGGAAGGCCACTTGCCCCTCGTCCTGCTCCAGCCCTCTCTTGGCCTTCGTCAACTCCAAAAGCGGGGACAATCAAGGCGTCAAGTTTCTGCGCAAGTTCAAGCAGTTCCTCAACCCGGCCCAAGTCTTCGACCTGATGAATGGGGGCCCACACCTGGGGTAAGCACTGGGCTTGGCGGGGATGTTGCATGGGCATGAGCCCTGTGCAAGATGATGATGCAGCCCCTCAGCCCCCTCTATCCTGCCCTTGGCCAGGCTGCGGCTCTTCCAGAAGTTTTCCACCTTCCGCATCCTGGTGTGTGGAGGAGACGGCAGCGTGGGCTGGGTCCTCTCCGAAATCGATGCCCTTGGCCTGCACAAGCAAGTGAGCGCAAGTGTGGCCGCGTGGTATCGCCTGGGCGAGCTGGCGAGATGCCAGGCCTCTCGTGAGCGCCATGCGGTAGGGGTTGATGGGTCAGCCCCCCTCAGCATGCCCAGGGTGCATGGGGGGACCTAAGCATGGGCCACATGGACCTAGCGTGGACCTAAGCTTCAGAGCTGGGGGTGTTGCAGGTGGTTGCTCCCACCCGCTGGCTGTGTGCCCCCAGCTTGCTCAGAGCACCCGGGGCCTTCTTCTGCAGTGCCAGCTGGGGGTGCTACCCCTGGGGACCGGCAACGACCTGGCACGGGTGCTGGGCTGGGGCAGCCTGTGTGACGATGACACGCAGCTGCTGCAGATCCTGGAGAAGCTGGAAAGGGCCACCACAAAGATGCTGGACCGGTGAGCGTGATGGGAGACACTGGGGCTGGGGCAGGAGCTCACTGCTTGGCACTGTCACCTCCTGTGTCTCTCGGTCAACCCTTACCCTTGTGGTCTCCCTGCATGTCCCAGGCCTGTGGCCTCTGCCAGGGTGCCCGGGCTGGGCTGGGTGACAGCGGGTGTCTGTCTCTGCTCGGCAGCTGGAGCGTGCTGACCTACGAGGCGCCCAAGCAGTCTCCCCCCGCTGCGAAGGAGGAGGAGGAGGGGGACGCCAACATCCAGGTAGGCCACGCGGGTGGTGGGGAGCTCTGAGGCGGGCAGGGCTGGTCCCCCCTTCCAAGCCGTGAGCTGAGGCTGGCAGTGGGTTCCCATGGGTGCAAGGGACGGTGCAGTCCCCAGAGAGCCACACTTGGGGTCCCTGGGGTGCGAGGCTGCAGAAGGGCTGCCAGCTGGCGGGACATGGTGAAATGAGTCTGGCAGGTCTCAGTGGAACACATGGAGAACTGCCGGGATGCATTTTGCCACCTGCCAAGGGGTAGGCTAGCTGGGAGACGTGGAGCTGACCTGCAAAGTCGGAGTTCAGGAGGCTGTTTATGACTCTTCCTCCACCATTCCCATGCCTCAGATTCCCTCCACCATGCCCGTGCCTCAGCTTCCCACCTGGTGCGTCGGAGCATCCCCTCTGCCTGGAGGGGACGGGCTGAGGAGGGCTACTGCTCAGCCCTGCTCCGGGGTGCCCTGGGCACATCTCCACCGTGGATGGGGCTCCGCTCAGGCAGCCCAGCCCCAGCTGTGGCCCCTGTTCCCCCAGGCCCAGATCTCCCACTACGCCGACTCCGTTGCCTTCCACTTGGCCAAGATCCTGGAGTCCGACAAGCACTCGGTGGTGATCTCGTCTGCAAAGTAAGGGATGTGCTGGGGACAGGGGTGCGGGTGCCACCCTGCCCCAGGGTGCTGAGCCCTCCCAGGATCACATTAAGATCCCACCGAGGATGCCTATGCCAGGACAGTCCTAGTTCTGCCCTGCTGGTGCAAGGGAGGCTCGTCCCAGGGGTCCCCCAGGGACAGCACCGTGCCCAGCCTGTGCTGTGCCCCTGCCACCACCCCGACCCTTTCCCTGGCAGGTTCCTGTGCGGCACCGTGAATGATTTTGTAGCTGAGGTTGGCCGGGCTTACAAGAGATCCACCGAGAACAAACAGGAGGCTGAGCTGATGGCACGGAAGGTGGGCTGGGGCAGCTGGTGATGGGCTCCAGGTGCTGGGTCATGGAGAGCCCAGCCAGCCCCATGCTGGGTCCCCGCGCTCCTGATGGCCGTGGCGTGGGGGGCACCCTGCAAGCGCACCGTGCGGGCCGCGTGCGAGCGCTGCGTGTCCCACAGTGCGCCATGCTCAATGAGAAGCTGGACTCGCTGGTGCGGGAGCTCAACGAGGAGGCCCAGGCCATTACAGTCCCCGAGGGACCGTCGCAGGCCCTGCTGGGAGACGCCAAGGAACGCGACAAAGAGAGCGGCTTCCACCCCAGCCCTGTGCCCCGCATTTTCAAATCCAAGGAGCAGCTCATGCTGCGGGCGAACAGCCTCAAGAAAGCCCTGCGGCAGATCATCGAGCAAGCGGAGAAAGGTGAGAGCCCTGAGCCCTGCACGGTGCTGGTGCTGGCCCTGGGCCTGCCCTGGGTGCCTGCCCCTTCCCCCAGCGCCCGGGCTGGGACAGCCCGGCAGGTGCCCAGCGGGGAGCCTCGCTGCAGCGCGTGGTGATGCTTGGGGTCTCCACCCAGCTGTGGACGAGCAGAACAAGCAGACCCAAGCCTACTGCAGCACGGTGGGCCCCACCAAGAAGGACAGCTTGGAGGAGTGCAACAAGGAGGCGGAGCGGCTCAGTAAGCTGCGATGGGGGCACTGAGCTGAGCATCAGCATGCGGGCGCTCAGGAGGTCGGGGGAGAGCGCGTGCACTAACCGCCCGTTCTGCAGGCTCCCGGCGGGAGACCGTGACCTCCGCCACCTCCTCCATCCTCCTCGACAGGCCCGACAGCTTCGGCACCTTGCAGTTCCCTGAAGACCCCAGCGCCCTGTGAGTCAGAGGCTGGGCCCTCCGTGTGGCTCTCAAGACCCCAGCTGCCCACGCATGGTGCAGGAGGGAGCACAAGCAGCAGCCCCATGGGCGGCTTGCACTGCTGGCCTCGGCTGCCTCTGAGAACAGCAGTGCCATGGGCATCCTCTGCCTGGCGCTGGAGGTGTCCCTCATGCTGAGCCCTCCCTGGCATCGCCTGAGTGCCAGCCGCCTCTGGGACATGTGTGCCAGCACGTGCTGCGTTCCACCCTGGCAAACCCTCAGCCAGCATCTTTGCCAGGCTGAAGGGAGTGCAGTTGCTGAAGCTGATGTAGGTGCTGAAGTTCGGAGTGCGTGGTCCCCTCCAGGCAGGTCCTAGTGGGGAGTCACAATATGGGGAACAAACTAGCCCCAGCTACACCTGCTCGATCCCTGGTGTCTTAGGTTGAGCTTCTCCATGTCTGGTCCTGGCAGCCCTTTCCTGCTCCATGCCAAGCCCCCATCCCTTGCTCACACTGCAACCGGCTATTTTTATTCTGCTCCCGTTTCCCAGTTCCACCCCGGCAATCGCCTGTGCGTGGCTCTCTTCCCAACCTGCCTTCCCTGTCTGCTGCTTTCAGCCAATTTTCCGAGAAATGTGTCATGAATAACTACTTCGGCATCGGCCTGGATGCGAAGATTTCCCTGGAGTTCAACAACAAGCGGGATGAGCATCCCAAGAAATGCAGGTGGGCTGAGCCCCCAGCAATACCCTGTGCAGCTTGGTCTCCTCCCAGTTACCTGTCTTGGGGGCTCCTGAACCAGGAGGGACGGTCTGGATAGTGGGAAGCGGGAGGTCAGAGCTGTTACACTGATGCCCAAGCACCTCTGGGTGCAGCTAGTAACCAGCTCATCCTGGGAAGGGGAAGGATTGCTGTGAGACCCCTGCTACAGAGGGTCTGGGGTAAGCCCTGGGTGGATCCAAGTGTGTGCCGGTGTCAGGAGGTGCTCAGGGAGCTTTCTTTGCTGGGCACCTGCGTGGGCAAGATCCTGCAAGACCAAGAGGTCTTTAGCACACTCTTGGGGCCGAGCACTGCATCCTGCATCTTCTCAGAGGTGCCAAGCAGCACCCTGTCCTGAAAGTGGGGAAACTGAAGCACAGAGCAGGAACTGGGAAACAGAGCCAGGTCTGAGCTCATGTGGGGACCAAGCCTCAGAGCTTGTCTTTGGGAGCCTGAGTGGTAGAGGCTGCTGGTCACTGGCTGCAAAGGGGACCTGCATGAGGCTGTTCTAGAGCTGCCGGCAGAGCAGGGTGGGCAGTGCGGGAGCCTCCAGGGTTGGGGTGCAGGGTGCCCCGCTCACCCTGCGCCTTCTGCACCTGCAGCAGCCGCACCAAGAACATGATGTGGTACGGGGTGCTGGGCACCAAGGAGCTCCTGCAGCGCACCTACAAGAACCTGGAGCAGCGGGTGCAGCTGGAGGTAGGAGGGCGCGTACGGGAGCAGCTGTGACGTGGTGAGTGGGACCGCACGGAGGCTGCGCGGGCAGGGAGGCTGGTGTTCTCCTGCCTCAGCATTCTCTTCCAGTGCGACGGGGTGCCCATCTCCTTGCCCAGCCTGCAGGGCATTGCTGTCCTCAACATCCCCAGCTACGCTGGGGGCATCAACTTCTGGGGAGGCACCAAGGAGGACAACGTGAGTGTGAGCGCTGTGGGGTGGAGAGGAGGGCCTGGGGTGCCATTCCTGTGCTCCCAGAGATCCTGCGGTCCCCAGGGCAGGCAGTGGTCTGGCATGTCCCTGCCTTGGGCCTGTGCTTGGGGGTGGTGGAGGAGGCATGGAGGGAGGGGGTGGGTTCCCGAGAAGCTTGGGCTGACCCCAGCTTGGGGTCTCAGTTGTGCTGGCCCCCTGCAGAACTTCGGAGCCCCGTCCTTTGACGACAAGAAGCTGGAGGTGGTGGCCGTCTTTGGCAGCATCCAGATGGCTGTGTCGCGGGTCATCAATCTCCAGCACCACCGCATAGCACAGGTAGGGGCCAGCGGGGCTGAGTAGGGAAAAGGACACTTTGGGACCTGTGTGTGCCCACACTGACACAAGTGGGCAAGAATGAGACGCCACGTGGTGCCAGAGCGTCTGGGACACCTCAGCCCCAATATCTCTGAGGTCCTGGAGGTGGCGTGGGCTTCTGTTGGGCACATGAAGGTCGTAGGTGGTGGCAGGGGACTATTCAACCTCAGTCCGGATACTGAACGAAGCAGAAGCCTGCAGCGGGCAGTGCCAGCCTGGCGATGCCAGCCCCGGGCTGTCTGCCCCGCAGTGCCGTATGGTAAAGATCACAATCCGGGGTGACGAGGGTGTCCCAGTGCAAGTAGATGGAGAAGCCTGGATCCAGCCCCCAGGAATCATCAAGATCCAGCACAAGAACCGAGCGCAGATGCTGACAAGAGACCGGGTGAGCTTTGCCCTCCATCCTGCCCATGGGCCACGTCCGGGTTGGGTTCCAGGACAGCCAGGAAAAGCCCTTCTTCCTCGCCTTGTCCCCGCTTGCCATGCAGGAGATTGGCACTGTGTCCCTCTGTACTGTCCTGCTCTGCCCCAGGGGCACCTACACCTCCGGGACAGGAGCAGCAGGCTGAGGGCTGGCGTCCCGGGGAAGTCCAGCTTTTCCAGGAGAAGGGCTGGTCTAAGAGGCATCCTGAGGGCCTCCCTCTGCCCACAGGCCTTTGAAAGCACCCTCAAGTCCTGGGAGGACAAGCAGAAAGGCGAGAGCTACCGTGCGGCCGCGCGGCCCCGGCTCAGCTCCCAGCAGTCCATGGAGTACCTGACGGATGAGGAGACCAGCATCTTGCTGCAGGTCTCACAGGTCGCCGAGACCCTCATTGCCAGGTGGGGGCAGCAGGCATGGGGCAGGGGTGTTGGGCCCTTGGGCACAGGTATCGAGAGCGCGAGGGAGGAATGCCCAGGCTGTGGGGAAGAGGGACACTTTGCTGCAGCGCTGCCTGCCTCGGTGTCCCAGCACGTCCCAGGGCCCTGTGGGTGGCTGAGCCGGGCTCCCCTGCCCCACTCCTGTGCCGGGGGAGAGGGGTGGGCACCCTGCTCCTCTGGGAGCCCCGGGGTGTCTGCCCAGCGCGGCTCTGCCTTCCCCGCAGGATCCACGAGGCCGCCAAGGCGCACCGAGCCATGGAGCAGGAGCTGGCGCACGCCGTCAGGCCGTGGAGGTGGTGCTGAGCATCAAGGCGCTCTACACGGAGACCAGGGCGTTCCTGGAAGGGAAGGCGGTGAGTGCGGGGTCGGACGGCACCCCCAGCCCCCTGACGGAGGAGGGCACGGCGCCCTGGGCTGGCGCCCCGGCACGCGGCAGAGGGGCTGGGGACGGTGCCTGTGCCCCGCAGCTGGACTCGCCGCAGGAGGAGGAGGCGCTGAATGGCCCCCTCAGCGCACTCGGCCACGAGCTGCACAGGCTGCTCGACATCCACTGGCTGGCGCCCATCGCCCACTCTGCTGAGGAGGTGGGTGGCACGTGGGGGCCTCAACACGGGAGGCCACGTTGGGTGGGTGGTGGAAATCCAGTCAGCTCCTTCTTTCTCTCCACGGTGCTCCCATCCCTCCTCCTTGCAGGAAAATGTGGGAACGGCCAACAAGGGCAGCTTCAAGCTTCGCCTCAACATCCCCAAGCCCAGGAAAGATAAAGACAAAGCGTCCAAGCAGAAATCCAACAGCAGCCTGCCAGGTAACGGGGGGTCTCACCCCAGAGTGGGAGAAGGGAGCTTGAGGTACCCTGGCCCTCAGTCCTGTATGTGAGGATTGAGGCACTGAGTCCCTTTAGGCAGGCTCAGATCAGGGAGCCTGAGGACCCTGGAGCCCTCCGTGAGGATGAAGGGCCAGTAAGATGTCCAGACCCCACCAGCCAAAGAGTTAACAGTTGCACCATGAGCAGGGCAGAAGGTCCTAACCTTGCTGTGCCAGTCCATGAGATACCCATGATGGGCAGCCCAAGGAGGGTGGCAGAGCCTCCCCCAGCCATGCAGAGATGCCCAGGAGCACATTTGTCACTGACAGCCCCTTATAGAGCTGAATTCTTCCCCCTCTTGCAGCACTGTAACTCCATCACCTTCATCCACATGGGAAAGAGGTAGATTCTGGTAAAGCTCAGCCCACCCATGCAGGTCAGTGCCTGTGCTGGGCGCTTCATGGATAGGGAGAAATGCAGCAGTAAAAATATGTCTGCTTTGCAAGAAAACTATAGAGAAGAGCAACCTCATCTCCAGCCTGAGCTGCCCAGTCTGGCTGGGACTTCAGGCCCGGCCAGAGCAGAGCTGGAAGATGCTGCCCGCTGCTGCCCGCCTGGCCTTGGCTCGCCGCATACGGCTGCCTGCAGCAGGGCTCCCCCGACATCCATGGCTTTCCTCCCTGCCAGCAGACAAGTGGAGCTCTGAAGAGGTGGCAGCTTGGCTGGAGACGCTTGGCTTGGGGGAGTACAGAGACATTTTTGTGCGTCATGACATCCAGGGCTCTGAGTTGATCCTGCTGGAGAGGAGAGACTTGAAGGTACAAGATCCCCTTTCCCACCCCTCCGGATTCCCAGCCTGGGTAGCACCAGTACCCCAACTCTTTCCTTTTCCTCTCCCTCCTTCAGCGGGGCTTAGGCAGGAGATGCCAGGGCCAGGCGTACACTTATCCCACTTCCCATTGGGAAGTGTTGCAGGGCAACCCTGGCATGGCTTGCGCCAGCTTGCACATGAACAGGGGCTGCAAGCAGGGAAGGGGCGTTGCTTTGGGAGTCCTGGCTTGCAAAATGCTGCTTTGCCCCAGAGGAAAACAGTGCAGGCTGCTTGCACAGGGGATGGGGGGATAACACTGTGCCCTCACTGCATGCAGAGATGCTTATAAGGGGGTAAGAAGCTCCCAGGACACCCCTTCTGTTTGGGGAAGAAGTGTTTACAGAAAGGACCAAGGGCTGGGGTAAGCCTTGTCCTTGCACAGAACGTGTTTGCAAGGGGGAAGAAGGGTCCCCTGGAGAGGTGCTTACAAGCAGGACAAGGGAGTCCTGGTCACTGCAGGGCTTGGGTACACTCTTGCCTGGAGAGCAAGGGCAGCAGCTGCTCTCTGCCCTTCCATTTCTTGGCCAGTGGAGCCAAGGACTCATGTTACAAGAAAGTCAAGCTCCATTTCTCCTTCCTGCAGGACCTGGGCATCACCAAAGTGGGCCACATGAAGAGAATCCTCCAGGCCATTAAGGAGCTCAGCAGCATGCCCTAGACCAAGGGCGCAGCATGGCAGCTGAGCCCATGCCCTGGGTCCCTGTCCCAGGATCTCTAGCCCCTAGGGACTGGTGCCCAGGGGCTGGGTGCCAGAAGGGGGGAAGCCTAGATCCCCTGTGTGCCCCTGTGTGCGAAGCCCCCCTGCTTGCCTTGCTTTGTCTGTTCGTCCCCCAGGGCCCCTGGAGCCGCTGCTTCTCCCACAGCCTGTGGGGCTGAAGACACTAAGGTGGAGATATGGTGCAGTAGGCAATGCTGGCCCACGCTTGGGTCACTACAGGAACCAGAGGGCCTGGACTGTGCATCGGTCCCAGCTGGGGCCAAAGCAAAGACTCCCCCGCCCCAGCCTCTTGGATGTGGGTATTTAAGCTGTGTAAATATTTGGAGAAGAGATATTTATTGCTGGTGCTTGCATTGTGTCATTGCTTCAGGGAAATGGAGGTGGGTGGGAAGGGGATGAAGACCTTGCCCATTCCAACCCTCACCTCTCATCTTCCTGCTCTCCCTCCTTCCTCCCTGGAGCCCCCAAGAGTGACCAAGCCTGCACTCACCTTCTGCCCTGATAGGGCAAGGGAAGCATGGCTCAAGAGGCTCAATATAGCCTCTACTCTTGTGCCATATCCAGGGTTTACCAAACCAGGGTCAGGCCCTGTTCCAGCAGCCACTGCCAGCCCAGAGAACAGGTACAAAATATTTTATTAACAGTTCTACATTTTTTTCCCCCCTCCCACCCATCCTTTCACAGGTAGTTAAAACAACTGTGTTTTCTATATACAGAGAGCACCTAGCTATTTACAGCCTATGTACAAAGGCAGGGCTAGCTCTTCAGCACCTCCTCCAGCTTCAGCATGTCCAGGGGGGTGGTCTTGGCAACCTCAAAGAAGACCCTGAAAGGAGCCGCAGTGTCTTAGAGCTCAGCCCCAGTCCTGCCACCCCAGTACCCTCTGCCACAGGTGCCTGCACTCCTGGGGAGGGAGCAGGCTCAGGGCAGAGCCCCTGACACGCACCTGTGTGAATACTTGGTGTGTACAGCCTTCAGCTTGTCGTGGGGTTGATATGTGAATAGAAAGTTCAACCTCTTCACTAGGGGATGCAGGTCTTTGGAGCAGTAGCCACTGTAATACTCTAGTGTAGGGGTCTGCAAAGAGAGAGCGAGTGAGCAAGGGCTTCCCTTCTAAGACCCAATTATCACCTTCTCCCCTGGCCTAAGCTCCAGCCCCACAAAAATCTGAGGGGAGATCTCCCTTCTCCTGGACAGGCCTCCTATGCACCAGCTGCAGCACAGAGCCCAGTGCCAGCTGAATTAGCATTGCCCCAGCACCCAGGCCCACCCACTGCCATGGCACATCTGTGTCCTGGGGCAGAGCTGCACGCACAGCCCCCAGGAGGGTGCGAGGGCACCACAAGCCGCGTGGCACTGACCCAGCCTCCGAGGTTCCTCATGGTGAGCGCCAGGAGCAGGCAGCTGGCGGCCAGCTTGGAAGGGCTCTCGCGGGCGTAGTCGTACTCCTGCAGGGTCATCTCGCAGAGGAAGCGGGCCAGCGTCAGCGTCTCCATCTTGGCACGGGCACACTGCAGCCAGGCAGGCAAGGAAAGGCTCAGCACTGAGCAACAAGCTCCTGGCCTTTGGGGGATCCAGAGCATGGTGCTGCCAGACCTCTGGGCCAGCAGGCAGAAGGGGGCACAGCACCTACCTGGGGGATGCCACGGGTCACAAGCGTTGCCTACTAATGGGAGGGCAGAGGGTGTGCGTGTGCTGGGGGAAGCTCAGGGACACCCCATGGCCCCAACACCAGCCCATTTTCCTGCTGGACCCACCTTGGCAAAGCGTCGCAGGAACCGGTAGGGGATGGGGATGTTGATATCAAACTTGAGCGTGCGGAGGATGCTCATCTCCATGAGAATGAGCTCTTCCCGCTTGTAGGCATCGTCACAGATGTACAGGAAGTCATCCACGCATGGGGGGCACCGCTCCTGCCGGGGCACAACCTGCTCAGTACCCTAGCAGGAGCTCATCCTCTCAATGCTCACTGCTTGCAAAAGAGGTACAAAACCTCATGGCTTGCAAGTCCCACAAAGGGCTGCCCTGCTAGGTTCTGAAAGAACTACTGCAGTGTTCAGCGGGTCCCATGCAAACAGGCATCATTAGTTCATGCTAACCCCAACCCTTACAGTCGTCCACAGCCAAGCTGACCACGCACCAGCTCTAGCTCCTAGTCCTCCTTGCTTACAGGATTAACCCAGGTATCCTGGTGGTCCCTGGGGTGCAGGGAGAAGACCCAGGTCACCTGCAGGCACCATCCAGGCCACCTAGCCTGCATTCAAAGCCCCAGAGAGGTTGCAAATTGTCAGATAAGTCACACTGGCAACCCTCATTAGCAGGGCCTGGTACTTCAGCCATCATCTATAACTCACAGCTGTGGAGGGCTGGAGAAACACAGCCCTTTCTGCCCCTAGCACTTGGATGCAGCACTTTGCAGGGAGTCACCTCAAATTTGGAGGCGATGAGGATGGCTGTAGAGCCAATGAGCTGCAGCTTGTCCCTCATGCTCACCACCTCCACCAGGTAGTGATCCACCAGCTTCACTGCCAAATACAGCGTCTCATGGCTCAGCTCAAAGTTCTCCTGCAACGATACAAGCAGCGTGAAATCACACAAGAGCCAGGCTACCCCTATCCCTCTGCTCCAGTCTGGTTGCAGAATGCTCTGTAAGGGTCAGACTGGTGCCCACAGGGCCAGGTTGGGACTAGGGTCCTGAGGCATTGTCCTCAACCTGATACAGTGGGGAACAAGTCAGCTCTGCCCTGGGAATACTCACAGAAGCCTCTGTCTAAGCAACGAGGCTCCATACGCCAAATGCCCTGAGCCTTGCAGGGGGCTACTCTGAAGGGCTGCGACACTTCCCCATGTCCATGTACCTGCACTTCCACCATCCAGTCCACCAGGATGGCCCTCATGTCCCCACTGATGTCTGGCTGCTTCTCCATGTAGTTGGGGAGCACAAACTTCTCCTGTCAAGGCAGTGGGTGTTAGCGAGTTGCTGCCAAGATGCGACAGGCCGTCAACAGCTCCACTGCTGCCAGGTGCCCAGAGCCTCTGGCTGCTCCCTGGGGGTGGGCAGCCTTGCTGGGGCTCAGCCCCAGCTGCCACCGCGCCTGGCACTCACCTCTCTCTCCCGCATATAGTCAAAGATCTCCTTGGCGTACTCAGCACTGGCATAGGGGTCACCCAGCTGCTCCTGGTCTATGTCCTCCACAACCGGAGCCTGGAATCATGCCCCCAGGCATCAGTGAGAGGCAGCTGCATGTGAACAGCTGCCTGGGGGTCACCCCTTCAGGGCAAAGCAGCTGTACATATAACTGCCCTCTCTTGCCTTGCAGCTCCCATGCTGCTTCCCCCTTCTCCCCACCCCCCCCCAAGAGACCTTTGAAGGAAGGTGCAGGAGGGTATTTCCCCAGCTCCTGTCATACTGGGCACATGTGTGAGGTTCAAAGCACCTCCTGGTGTTCCAGTGCTACTGGCAAGAGCCACAAGTCTGTGTCACCAGCAAGGCAGGATGAGAGCAGTAGCCAGGCTGAATCCCAGGGTCCCTGCTCTCTCCTTGAGCAACTGTGGTACCTGCACAGGCTCAGGCTCCTCCGGGACAGGAACCTTCACGGGCTCTGCAGGAGGCTCTGTCAGCGGAGTTTTTCTCAAAGACCTGAGCAGGACAAGAGCACAAGTCACAAATGGGAACAAGTCCATTTCTCCCAGCTCCAAGGGCTCTTCCAGCCCCTTGTTGTCACTTCAGCAAAGGTCTCAACAGCTTCTAAAATAGCTCCTGGACCCAAGTGCCCACTGCCTCCTGCACATCCACCTGCAACAGGCAGTGCCATGAGCCCACAGCGCAGCATGCAGGCCACTAGCCCACGTTGCCACAGCTCTGCAGACCTTCTCCATGTCCCACAGGGCTGGGCACGGGGTGCTGACCCCACAGCACCCTCCACCATCCCTGCACGCCATCTCACCTGGCTACTCACTTTTTCTGATTAATCTCATTGTTCTTGGCAACGTCGAGCGCGACGGGCGCCTTCTTGCGTGTCCCAGCTTTCGACACCTCTTTCTTCCCCACCACCGCCTGGGTCACAGGAGCCTGTTGGAGCCAGGTGGGGACAGAAATGAGGGCATGCAGAAGGGTGCCCAGAGCAGGGCAAGGCGGCGAGCCCCTGCACAGGGAGGCAGGCCCGGCACGGGGCACGTGGAGCACTCACGTTGGTGATGTCCCCGAAGGCCGACCTCTTCTTGGGCGCTCCCTGCGGCGAGGACGGCGACCGCTTGGCCTGACAGCTCTCCTCCTGCACCGGGGAGCGTGAGGGACGAACGCGGCGGCCGCCCGGGGCACCCCGAACGCCCGTCCCCGTCCTCACCTGCTCGGCCTTGCCGTGCTCGTCCGTGGGGCCGCCCTTGGCCGCCCGCGGCGCCTTGGCGTTGCGCAGCACCGGCATCCTCACCCTCGCGCTGCCTCCGGCTCCGCTGCGGGACACGGCAGCGCTCGGCACCGCCGCCTCGCCGCTCCCCGAGCGGGGACGAACCGAGGCAGAGCCCCCAAAGGGACCG